TGACCCCCCCCATCCCCCCCAGGCCCACGCGCAGGACCCCGCGCAGGCCACGCGGGTGGGGGTGGCCGTGGTGGACACCTTCGTCTGGCAGAGCCTGGCCTCAGTGGCCATCCCCGGTGTCACCATCAACCGCCTCTGCGCCGCCTCGCTGGCCCTGCTGGGTGCCCTCACCCGCTGGCCACTGCCCCTCCGCCGGTGGACCACCACCGCCCTGGGGCTGGCAGCCATCCCCATCATCATCACCCCCATTGACAGGTAAGGGGGGACATGGGGACACCCCCTGGGGGACAAGCGGGTACCGACTGCCCCATCCCGGCACCCCACATCCCAGGCTGGAGCACTTCTCCTCCCAGGGGAACTGGTCCCAGTACGGGCTCGAGGCTGGGTGGGGTGACACTCCCACCCCAAAGGAGCTTTGCTGGGGTCCGGCCAGGCCACGGCCCCGCGGGGATGGAGATTAGCAGGAGCCGGGCGCTGAGCTGGGATTAGCAGGGTGAGGCTGTGCTAAGCCTGGTTTTGGTAGGGCTGGGGCCTCGGTGACATTAGGGACGGGGTCCCAGGGGGATTAGGGACAGCGCAGCCAGCCCCGCCTCGGCCTGACCGCATTAACTCTACCCCACTCACCCCCTCTCCCCTCCCGCCGCAGGACTGTGGATTTCCTGATGGACTCCAGCCTCCGCAAGCTCTACGGGGCACCGGGACAGCCCCCAGCCCCACACTGACCCGCCCCGCTCTGGGGAAACTGAGGCACACTGCTGATTTTGGGGTGCTGTGACCCATCTACTGTGAACCCTCGCTCTGGTGGTGTCCCCAGAGCAGCCACACGGCTGGTCCTAATAAACCATTTCAAGCCTGACCCTGTGCTGGGTGATGCTTGGGGGGGGAAACACATGGATCCAGCTGGGTCCCAACCCCCAGGCTCAGCACCCTGTAGGCATCTGCACCCTGGCATGGGGTGGGTCCCTGCACACCCAGAGCAGCCCTGATCACCCCACCAGCACCCCCACATCCTAGCTGGAACCCCTCCATAGCTGCTGCCAGCCTCATGGGACATACTGGGGACTGTCCCCAAGGAGCTGCCACCCTATCCAAGATCTTCAGTGGTAGCACCAGGGGCCTAACTCCCCTCAGCCAGGAGCCACCAGCTCTGGCACCACAGGCTGGGGACACACCACCACATCTGGAAGCAGGAGGTACCACCAGGAGATGTGGCTTCCAGGCATCATGGCATGTCCCCAGCCCATGGTGGAATCCACATGGTACCACCAGGAGAAGCTTTAGAGAAAAAAAACCCAATGCTTTACTGGGGAGGAAGGCGGTCCCTGGCTCACACCGAGCCCTGCGCCAAGCTGCGGTAGCCTGGACCCACCTCGCCCCCTTTCTCTGGCTCCCTGGGGACCAGGGCTCCCACCACACTCTGCAGCTCAGCATGGAAGGGACACTGCCGCCGCCTCCGCCATCCCCGCCGTCCCCGTCTCCGGCGCCAGGCAGCCAAGGCTAGCGCCAGCAGACCCCCCACCAGGGCGGCTGCCACCAGGGCGCTGCCCACCAGGGCCAGCCCGGCCAGCAGGAACCTCTTCACCATGTGGCACAGTACTGGGTATGGCAAAAAAAAAAAAATAAATAGGCAGTTCAGAGGTTGCCTCAGCACCTGGGGTGGTGGGTTTGGGGCCACGGGGTGATCTTCAGGGTTGTCTGCTCACCTTCATACCATGGCACCTTCTCCTTCTGCACTAGCAATGGTCCAACTGTCTCCCGGTGGAGTGTCCCCTCTCCCAGGAACCCTGCGGGAGGACATGGCCCATACAGCCTGTCCTGCCCCAGGACCCCCCCAAGATCCCAAAGCCACGTGGGGCCACCACAGCCCAGCCCTGGTACCTGGCAGCTCTCTGGGGAGGGTGTCACCAGGGGGACAGCCAGTGTCACAGCAGTGGCACAAGGTGCTCTGGGAAGGGTCCTCTGCATTGTGCCAGCTGGGAGGAGAGGACAGAGCCGGGGGGGGGGGGGGGGAGGCGGGG